GTGATAGTTCTTGATTACTTTTTGATAAATAATTCGTTTTTATTGCGAAATAGGAGCACTATTTATCAATCTGTAATAAAAGACGTGAGGAAATTCTGTCTTTTCTGAAAAATTTCTGAAAAAATCTGAAAAAAAAATTTCTGAGGCGAAATACCCAAAAAGAAGTTTGTAAAAAATGAATCCGCCTCAACAATATAGAACTTATTTACAAGCCTTATATTGCATGCTAACCAAAACTGATAATACCCAATCGAAGTCTTACCGGCGATTTCTCGAGGCCTTCGGCCGACCTCCAAAGCAACGTAGCTCCACAAAGATCAATCAGAGTGCCGTCTTGCAGCTGGTTGGATTCACTTTCGATCTGCAAAACCATGCCAAGCACTTGAAAGGAAACCGTTCGGTTCAGATGCTTACGATCTCTCCTCTTTGCTGCGACGATCGGGACTCTCGTCGCATAAAAATCATTCCTCCAACCGACGTCTCCACCCAAGGCCCCATTGTGGCTTCGCCGCCGTGAAACACTCCTCTAGGGTGCATCAGCAGCACCCCATTCGTTGTTTGCCCATCTATTTCGTTGTCGTTCTCCTGCCACTTGCACGCCTTTTCCTGGTTCAAGTGCACAATTGCAACTCTTTCCACATGGGACTCTAATGGGACACTTACGCCTAAAAATATATTTTTCGATGAATCGAAGCCAGCGGCATACACGCGGGCCACTGTGGGGTTGTTCCGTTCGCACAGTATCCGGCATGCAAATCTCGATATGGTGCTTTGGTCCAGTTTAGTGTCCGGGATTTTGTCGCCGGGGACCGTATCCATCACAACGAAGTCTATGGGAGTTTCGGATGATCGACCTATCTGGATATGGACAGACAGATAAAATTTATTAAATATTTACATTGGGGAATATGCATACAAAGTGACAACATGGTCATCTAAATAGGCGCGCTAAGTCGTCCATTATTTGGGCAGTGCCCCAACATGGACATTCAGACTATGAAGGCTCTCACGGCCGGTTAAATCACATTTAGGAAGGTTTTCCCGGCTTTGAAGCTATGGGAGTTTCTTCCTGGTTCACCTTCATTGTTCACAATGGTACCAATCAGGGAGGCAATGGAACTTGTTGCGAGAGGATTTCCACCGGACATCGCCAAACTCTTCCAACACTGTCTAACCACAACCTACTTCCAGTGGAACAGCGAATTCTTTGAGCAGACGGATGGAGCAGCAATGGGCAGCCCTCTTAGTCCAGTGATAGCCAACTATTTTATGGAAAAATTTGAGAAGAACGCTCTGGACACAGCCGAGAGGAAACCTAAGTGTTGGTTTCGCTATGTGGATGACACTTTTGTTGTTTGGGGCCATGGTCTGACTGAACTGGAAGACTTCCTGAGGCACCTCGACTCAATAAACCCTAAAATTCAATTCACTATGGAAGTGGAGAAGGATGGGCGACTGCCTTTTTTGGATGTCTTTTGGACCGACCGGTACCTGCACAGTGGTTCAAACCATCATCCCAGTCAGAAAAGAGGAGTCATCAAAACTCTCACCGAAAGAGCCAGAAGAATCTGCGAAACAGCCGAGTTAGAGAGAGAATTAAAACACCTGGAAGGGGCCTTTGGTTGGAATGGATACAGTAAGAAAGATTTCAATAGAGCAATTCGACCAAAAAACAGTAAACCCCCGGCAAGTTGATTTGCCTGGGAACCTATCCGGAGTGGTGAAACCGACCTGTTTCAGCCGAACTCATCTACTTTCCCAGCAGCTACTCACTTGGAACATGTCAGTTTGGTCGTCGCTGGTGTATTCGACGATGACAGCATGATTCCTGCTAAGCGTGTAGGAAATCGAATGTTGACTGGTGTCCAGGATGGCTTGCGAAGATTGCGGTGTGTTGACAGTGTAATGTATTGAGCGCCTCACTCCTGTCGGTTCCGGCTTCTTGTACAGCACGAATTTGCTTCGCTTCCTGCCGCGATCGCCCTGCGGCAACGACCCATTATATCTGAAAGGAGGATCAGCTCAGCAATGGCAAACTCGACGGCAAAAACGACATTTTTGCATCGGAAAAAAATGTTATTGGGCGCGTTTATAATCAACGGGGGCGCGTGGCCACCGTAGGACAGGCAGTTGTAAGACAGGCCCACTTTATTTGGGCAATTTTTGGCGAACTTGCAATTTGAATTCGAGAAAACCTCCTTCCAGGGAATTTCTAAAGCAACAGCAACTGATTTAGGTGTGGGTAACTCGGTGAATTTTTAGGAGTTGGCGCTACGCAAATGGCTTGGTGCGCCAACAAAACGCACCGGCGCAGTAAGTCAGCTCCGTTGCTGGAAAAATGTTGATGACCTTTTTTACTTGGTTTTTAGATTCATTTTAAGAGCCATTTATTAATAATATTTTTAAAATTTCTTCAAAATTCCAGAATTTTCCAGCTTCAGCCAAGTTACTCTTTCTTCTAAATGCTCAATTTTTTTTTTTCTTTATAATTTTATATTCGTCGCTTTGTAAAAAGCTTTTCACTCAAAAGCGCTCCATTTTGGGAGTGAGTAGGCCTGGGTATCAATGTGTTGAGTTGCGCTTTTGAGTTTTTGCAGCTCTCTGAGTTAATGAGTTTTAATCGTCAGTTTTACACTGGGACTTACTCTTGGGACGAAGAAGGCGAGTATTCTAATAAAATGTATTTCATAATTTTTCGCGGAAAATACCTAAAGATTGTCAGTATTTTTAAGGAAAACTAGAAAATAATGCGTTTTTTGCGGACAGAATTGCTTAAAAAAACTTTGCTAAAACTGGAACGACCTGGAATTTTAAAGAAACTTTAAAAATCTTCAGAGCGATGAGGGCGGCGAATTTTCCAAATTATTTTTTGTAATCCTTTGCTCTGGTCGTTTTTCCACGATAATATTAATTGCTTTCGGTGAAAAACTGAATAAAATTACTTGGTTTTTGTGCCAAATTCGAGGCTGAAAAGGGTTTTCTGCAAATCTATGAATGAGGCGAATTTTCGAGCAAAATCAATTTTGTAATTTTTGCCTGCAAAGCCCTCATTATTGTCAGAAAAGAAGAAAATACGTTTTTCCTAACGTTTTACTTTAAAATACTGGCAAACTGAATCTTGTATGCAAAAAAATTACGAGATCGGTTTTACAAGAAAACTCGTCGACTTTCTTTGGGCTCAGTTCGATTGCTGGGAAAATCTAGATTCCTTTCTTTAGTTGCTTGAACAAAGTAGTAAAACGTTACTCATAAAAAATGTTGATGACCTTTTTTTTAATGTGAAAGTTCCAGTCTCCGGTCTCTGACCGATGAGTTAACTCGTTAACTCAGAGAGCGGCAACAACTCAATAGCGCAACTCAACACAGTGTTACCCAGGCCTAATCTGATTGCAGTGACTGTAAGGAATATCGTCCCAAAAGGTCCATAATAAAGTATTTCCTGGTAAAATCTTATCTGATATCGTAAAAACAGTCTCTAAACGTAGAGCACTCCCGGCAAAAAGAGTGATAATAAATGGTATTGAACGTTATCGCCCTGTACATAACATTGTATATACTTTCCTGACTGTGTTTCAATTCCAAATAAAATTCAGTCCTGGGTTTCAGTCATTTATCGTCTCTATTTATCAATCAATCAAAATACGTTTCGGTGTATTTTTCCACCATCATCAGTTTTTATGTGTAGCGTTGTTGCTGCTTTAAGCCTTGGCATGCATTTCTGTAATGCGGAAACGTTATCCTCTAATAACGTAAGCGGTTATTTCTTTGCCAATGCGCATGCTTAGAATAACGGATAACGTAAAACGTGTTGCAATTAAGGGGCCTAAAAACTCCCTAACGAATCGTTAACATACATTAATGTTTATTTAAGAGAACGCAATAACTATACCTAAGCAAATTTTTCATATTTTAAATACCCACTCATAGGTACTAAGCAAGGTTATACATAGACGTTTTTTAAACGGGATTATCTCTGGTCTGGATGGCTAATACGCTCTAAATTCTGGAATGACGATCCGATTTCCAAATATAACTGCGTTTAAAAGCCCCCATGGGAATTGTTAACGTGGCTTCCATTAACACAAGTAACACCATAAATTTGTCAGTGTTTGACTCTTTCTTCTTAAAGTATACGATTTGGAATACTCGAAATAGAGCCCCTCTTTCGAGTATTCCGGTGAATACTTCAAATTGCTGTGAAAGATGCATGTTTTATCGATTTACTCGAAAACAAAGCTCGTCCAATCACTGAAGCGATCTGTGCTTGTATTATTCAGGACTAAACCACCCATTTACAGAGGAATCGAACTGAAAATAACCAACTTGCTGGTATAGAGACTTAATTTTCAAGTCATCTCCTTGAAACAGCCTCGAAATTTCCACCCGGTTAAGTTGGGAACTTACACAAAAATAAAATTTAAAAAATATTACTTGCAAACGTAACAATACCTACTATTAAAAACACCGCAGTTTACCAAAAAACCCATTTTTCTATGTAATTAATATAAGCAATTAAAAACTGTATAATTCAAATTATCCTTGGAACGCGCCGTCATTGGCTGGGACCAGTTGTGACGTCAACTAGCTAGTCGGCCGTGGCTGCTGCAATGCGGAGCATATAAACATGTAACTCAGTCTTGATGTTGTCGTTAAAACGTTTCTATAGTGTATTAGGAGAAAAGGAAAATCTTCCAAAATGACTGACGCAGGTTTTGTAAAAGGACAATCTTACATTTTACCACTAGTGGATATGTTTATCGTGGCATCTGACATTAAAAACACCGACAGTTTTGCGCTTGCTCAAGTTCGCGGTGTTAAACAGGTAGATTTATATACAAAATAGTCTTATTATACATTACTTAAACATTTATTGATAAATGCATGATTTTATTATGCATTTCTGTAATGCATGCCAAGGCTTAAAGCATCAACAACGCTACACATAAAAACTGATGATGGTGGAATAATACACCGAAACGTATTTTGATTGATAAATAGAGACAATAAATGACTGAAACCCAGGAATGAACTTGACCTGTATCAAACTGAATAAAAATAGTCGCTAATCCAATAGAAAGTTCAAGGATGCAAGCTAGAAGAGCATATTCCCTTCGAAAAACGATCTTGTTGGGGGTTCGTCCTCCGCTGAAGGCTTACCATTAGATGCTTACCCTAAAATTACCAGTTCTCCGTACTTGACTTGCGGCTTGGGCTTTTCGGAGTCGATACTGTCGGCCGATTCAGCGAAGATTTGCACTTCTGAACCATCTGACCTGCAAAAAAAAATCGACAAATTAGTTTTCCAAATAATACACTGAATTTTGTTGCATTTAGCAAATCCATTTGATCTCGCTGGGCACATGCAAGGCAAAGCCAAAAAAGACCGTTCGATTTCGGATAATCCTGCCAACGATATCAAGGAATATTGCACTCAATCCGGGTTATATTGCCGAGTAAACCCGTTAAGTAAAATCCGGGAAAGCGTTGCTTCATGGCACTAAAACCCATTATTCGGCTGTTAGCTTGAAAGCGCCGCAAACAATCGCTAAGCTGGTCTAAGCATGGAAGTTGTCACTTACCCAAATGGGCAAAAACACTTACTTAGAAGGTAGAAAGAAGTGAATGGGCAAGAAATAATTAGGAAACGAAACGGTTGAGCGGGAATTCGTTTTCCCGATTGCAATCACCATTGAACCACTGGATATAAAAAAAATGGTGTGCGTCACGGGACGCTCGACAGAAGTGATAACTTCATAAATTAATAGAAACCATAAAATATTGAACTTGTTTAACGCATGATGGCAATATTAATCGTATTTTATAATTTCAATATTCTTGTTAGTCTAATAATTTATAAATGGGTCAGGAATAGGTAAAATTTAATTTCATTTTGAATGCAAAATATCTTTTTTATTTGCAACATTTAACATTCTTTAACGAGATGTTGTACATATTGCTCTTCTTGGCTTTGTGTAAACTCTTCTTCTTGAGTTTCTGTATTTTTTTGTACGTTCAGTTGATGAAAACTACTTTGAGTTGATCTATTACTTAATGCTCCTTTTTTAGCACGAAATCGTTTTTGGCGTTCAGCATTACTTAATACTTTTCGCATTATAGCATGTTTTT